GCATTATTAGTATTAAGCATGTAGTGGATAAACTAATATTAAAATGGAAAAATTACTCTAAATAACAAATTATGTTATATGACCACTAAATAAAAAAATTATGTATCGGGACCAACACTCTATGAATGACATTAGTATAATTAAGATGTTATTTGAGTTTAGAAACAAACAAAAGAGCAAGAATTTAAAATTTGCGATACTGTGATGCAGTTTCCAGAAAATAACTAATTTAATACTAAATCGAATTCACAAAAATATAATATACCTCAGAGTAGTTTTGTCGGAATTTGGGTTTGAACTTTCAAGAACTTAATTAAATGAGGACTTTTGTCAATTAATGTCCAAGCTCATTGATGATCGAGATTATTGTCTTTTTCTTAAGATCTTCGATTCTAAATTTATTTTTAAGATGTTAGTGAGACCTTCAATATAACGGGTTTATATTTTGTTGATTTTCAGTAATATATGGGTTAATAGGTAGTTAAAATTTTCACACAAAGGGGTTAAGAGATTATGAAGCCTAGGGTTTTGCATGGAATTTAATGATAAAGGCAACAAAAATTGAAAAGGGAGAGTGGTAGATAGACGAATAAATTACGATTACAAGTCGTGTGACTGCTCAGCTGTCTCTGATGTAGACTCCATGATCTCACTAACAATTTTTTTTCTATAACGGGAATCACGGGGCATTGCTCCTCACTTACACAAATTATTTATCTCTTATTTGTATTTTGTAGATTCGTATCAGAGAATTAATTTATGTTTAAACCAAGAAACTAGTTTAGTGGTCCTTGCTTGGTTTGTGATACATATCCGACCCCGTGAAGTGATGAATATCGTTGTTAGTTGAGCCGCTTTTTAGATCATTCTTCCAAAAATATAGTTAGAAAAGTTCGAACAGCAAACTCCAATTTCCATGCATGGTTTGGTTCTATTTTCAAAATGCAGTCAGATAGTTTTTTTTTTAACCAACTCAAGATTGTCGAGTGATTGAAAAAATTCATCCAATTCATTGTACAAAATACATCTTTCAATCATAACGTATCCTAAATAATATCTTAGTTTTCCGATTGATCAATATCTACTATAGATTTAGTTTAAGGTCAAACTTCGATAAAATTTCATTGCAAAATTCGACCCAAAAAAAAAAAAATTTCAGCTCAAAATTTATTTGGCACTCATAAATTCCCGAGATTATCTATAAGGTTTACTCCATTTCTTCAGATTAATAAAAAACAATTGTTTGTAAGTTAAGATATTAATTAGTTTTTCAAAAAAAAAAAGTTAAGATATGAATTATGCGATAAAAGTTTGTACGCACATCTAAAAACATGTTTGAT